TCAAGCAACGTRTMGGACTGRGGCTGTGCCTTGGCAGAATTCCRYTGTTCCATGGCCGGTAATCCCAGAGGCTTCTAGTTTTTCAAGTACKTGGTTAGCGAGAGGCTAACAGGTTCCTGGTTCTTGTKTTGTGGTTTTTGGAATTTTGCTCAAGTTCAGAGATTTTCCTGACTGCTGTGTTTCTATGGTGGCTTTTTGACTTTGCATTTAACTTTCTTTTGTAACCAAGTTTTCATCAATAAAAAAGGATTGTTTTTCCTACAGTCCAGCGTGGTGGATTTAATCTTATGGTCTCGTTTCTTGGTCTGGGATGCAACAGTTAGGACCAACCTAACTCTATTGGAAAAGGTTTCCTCTCCAGCCAAGATGGCAGGCAATTGGCCCAAAGGATGGCCAGTCCCAAGCTTGGCCCATCCCCAGTTCCATCTGCGGAAGTGCACAACCAGTGAGCACAAGCCTGGCTCTATACTCATGGCCTTTGGGCCTTCGTAAGTCTCATTGCACCAATTTGGCTTCGGCCAGCGCTACAGAACAGAAGGAGCATGTTTCTAGGGAACACACGCTCCCCAAGTACAGCTCCGTTCCACAAGTGGCGGCGAGCATCAGGGGCCCAGAAGCTCTCCTCTCCCCTCATCTGTTGCTTCCCAAACATGTCACATGTGCTGCCAGGTTTAAGCAAAATAAGACCAGTTTCCATGGTTACCCAGCGCAAGCAGTCTATATATAGCCATGCTGCTACCAACCAAACCCATGTGCTCCAAGTTCCAGCTTGTTTCCTCACTCCAGATTTGCTGGGCCTCTGAATTGGTGAAGCCTTTGCGGGCTCCCAGGAAGTCACACAGGCAAAAGCACCCGCTGGAGCTCCAAGGGGCCAGAAGCATACACCTCTTGGTTGGAAACAAATCCCCAAAATTCAGCAAGATGCTCATCCTGGGCAGGTTGGGCCATTCGGAAAGCCATCTCCATGTTCTCAGCATCTTCTCCTCCAGTGATGGGCAACCTTTTGAGCTTGGGGTGTCAAAATTGGCCAAAAACCTGAGCATATCTTGGGTGGGGTGTCAACTTCGAGAAAAAAAACCCCATAATTTTGCAATATTTATAGTTTAAATTAGAAAAAAATGTATATTCCATGCTGAGTTATGGAGTGAACAAGGCTCAAACGTGCAAATGTTAAATTTGTAGAGCCTTTTACAAATTTAAGGATGGAATTAGATTGGCTCTTAGAAGGTGTGCTTCTCTGTATGCGGTCGCATGTCATCAAAAATAGCCAAGTGTGTCAGTGCTGACACGCATGGCATAGGTTCACCATCACGGTTCTACTCTGTCCACAAGCTCTTCCAATGTAGAGTGAAGACACTTTGAACCCATCTAGAGAGTAGAACTGATGCAGTTTGATACCACTTTATTTGTCATTGCCCATTGCTGTGGGATTGGGGGAGCTGTCGTTTCCCAATTTCCACTTAAATTCTGGAAAGTACTAGCAAGGGAAGGTTTCTAAGCAGCTCTCTCCCCCCAATTTTCTCCTCTGGATCAGTGAAGAAGCAACTGATATTTCAATCCCTCTCCTTCTTGGATTCTGACAAATGCCTTTCCAAACATGCCTGGCATGCTTTTCATGAACTTCAAACTCGCTTGCAAACATGATTCCGGTAGCCAAACACAGCCACCTAGTGGCCAAAATAACTTGATTTCCTTACATGTTTTATGCATTTTGATTGGCCAATAAAAGCATCACCTCTCCTGTGGACCTTGGATGTTGTTTTATGCTGAGGATTTGGGGGTCTGTACTCATTCATCCAGCTTTTCCCAACATGGCAGACTATAATTCATGATTTCACCCTGTTTCCCATCTTTACAAAGTTCTGGAGAGACTTATTCTGCATAGAATTATGGAAAAATAGACCCATGTCTGATCCCACAGCAAGCTGGCTTCAGGAAAGGCAAAAGCTGCACATCGCAAGTGCTGAACCTGACTCAGCACATAGAAGATGGCTTTGAAAGGCAGCAGATCACAGGAGCTGTCTTCATAGACCTGTCAGCGGCTTATGATACTGTAAATCATCACCTTCTCCTGAGAAAAAATTGTAGTATCACAAAGGACTACCACCTCACC